CTCGTTATGCACGCTATTAGGTGAGTAAAAGTTTGTTTGGTCGAAAGATTCTCACAAGATATTCGACAGTATTAAACGGCTTTTGGACCAGCAGGAAATGACGCTAAAATTGCCTGTATCCAGAAAACAGTTCACAGTATGCACAGATTACGGTATAGGCGCAGTACTTAGACAGGAGGAAGGAGTTGTCGAATATGCCATTCGTGTTTTAACACACACAGAACAGAAGTATTCAACGATAGGGAAAGAATGTCTAGCAATAGTATGGGCGATGGACAAATGGAGACCATATTTACTCGACCAACGGTTCCACATTGAAACTAATCACAAGCCACTACAGTTTCTGACGGCAGCGAGAGAATCACGTGGGAAGTTGTATCAGTGGATGTTGAGTCTGCAGAAGTATGACTTCACGACCTCAACGAAACATCTTTGGCTGATTTTTTATCTAGACCGAAAGGTGAAGTTGAGCTACTGGAGATGGTTTACGGAGTGCACGCATTGGAACCAGACTCATTAGCACTTGCCCGCAGTCAGAAATCAGACCCTAACCTGAATACATTCCTACATATGATCACTAACAGAACACAAGTGAATCAAGCCACGGCCAGTGAGGGGCTCACTGCGCTATTCAGACAGAAAGATAGATTACGAGTGGACTTGTCAAGAGAACGGTGGAAGCTGGTCGGAGGTAATACCTCAGTTTCCACGCCATGAAATGCTACAAGGATGTTACCAGCTAGCATATACAGGAGTAGCCAGGACATTCGACCTCTTGAGACAAAGCATGTAGTGGCCATGTATGAAAGAATATGTGGCAAAATATGTACTGAGATGTTCGCAGAGCCAGCTGATGATAGAAAATCGGTGCCTACGACCGCCTCTGCAGTCAATTCCAGTAACTGAAGTAGGTGACTTGTGGTCCGTAGATGTGATGGGTCCGTTCCTGCAGACATCCAGTGACAATCAGTACGTCTTGGTGATGATGGAACACACTACACGATGGGCAGACGTCGTCGCAATCCTTGATCAATGCACGATAACCATGATGGACACAGAGGTTCAGCTCGTCGTTACAGACCATGGTGTACCAAAGACGATATTGACAGATCAGGGTCCTTGTTTTGAAAGTGAAGAATTCACTTCCCGTTTGCAACAGTGGGAGATTAAGAAGACCCGAACAACATCATCCACCGTTACAGTATGTTGTATAGGAAAATGATATTTTTCTGCAAGCTGGATGATGAAAATAATTATTTTAGGCTTATCCTCCATGATGTTATTCTCATGTTCTATTTTGACAGAAAATAAGGACTTCGCCACATTCAGCTTACATGATCTTCTTCAAATTGCTATTTAGTATATTTTAAAAAAAATTCATATTTTGAGAGAACTGTACTGGATAACTGCAATAAAATCGTACTCATGGTTCCAAAACTGTCACAGAATCTGAAGAGAAAGCATAACTCGTTATAACATTTTAAGCAGTTACAAATTTCAAGTAGTTCATTTGTCATATTCCACTCTAGAACAGGGACAAGGTTAGTCATGTTATACTTTTATATCGGAAATTTGAACAGTATACTAGTCTGCAGAAATTGTGAGTTATAGAACTGAGTACAGAAAAATTCAGATACATTTGATATAAGCTTCCATTAGCTCAAGGCTCGCTTGAGTAAATCAGGCGTAGTATTTTTCACTACCTATTAATTCATTCAGTAAATAACAGCATTTTCTTGAAATTTCAAACTACGTGCCATTTTGACTGGTTCAATTATAAGTAGTCTGTCGTTTTAAATAGAATAAGAATTAATTTGGAAGCTACTTCAACACTACGCAATGCCGCAAAATTTTATAAACCCTCTTCGGTAGCTATATGGTAAAGCTACATGCCAAGTGACTTAGAGAGGAAAACTCACTGAGGCCTTAGAAGTATAGACAGGAGTTAGACAATTGTCAACTATTAACGACGATCTTCTTGGCCATAGTAGACTGGATCATAAGATAAACAATGAGGAGCGAGGAATACACTGTATGTAACGGTAAATTATGCCAAACAGAAAACAGAGAATATATTGCCCAACAGATGTGAATAGAGAAACTTCGTATGCGTGTCATCGTGCATAATTTATTTATGACCACTTTAAAACAACGTGTTTGCCATCCTGAGCACTTGAAGTGGTATGCATGTCTGTTATCCTACGAAAATGCCAAGAAGAACAGACACTAACTTTTTAATGAACTCACCCAACTATGTTGTGGATCATAGAAATGAAGGCAGTCAAGCCTAGTTTGAATGAATCTAATAGTGATTCAAAGTCTAACAGTCATTTATAAATTACTGCCATGGAAAACTCTAAAACGGTACTGGGGTCTAGTAAAGTTGGCTGAACAAAGAAACGACTGTTATTTTGTTTTGGGTTTTTCCTCAATGACTGAATGACCCATCGATTTTCAAATTCTACGGGAAATTGTCGTTTTGTTTACAAGAGAATTGCTTTCATACATCATTACGCAACTCCACACTCTGTGGACAAACCTACACTTTCATTTCCTACAACACAAGTATTAAAAAGTCTTTTTGTAAGTAGGTTGATTGCTGTCTTGAGGATAATGAATAAAGTTGAACAACAAATGTTTTCCCTTAACACCTCACTAAATTAACAGGGATGATAAATTACTTTCCATTAATAGGAACTATTACCAAAAGAAATTTCTGATCATCATAAGACTTTCTGACCTTTTAATTGCTTCACGAAATATGAAATTTACTAATACAGATATGATCAAAAGGCCTGTTATGCTATTTAAATTGTATGTATTAATATGTGGATACACTGACTTCAGATTGTGTTCTAACTGGTGTTTTTCGGTTGAAACAACTAGTTTGGTATCAATATATGTGTAAAACTTGGGCACTGTGGTAGTAAGTAATTCCATATTAGTTTGTTTATTAGATATATCACACAGTGAAACAGTATTATTTACTGGATGACGTTTCGAACACAATTTATTGTTCATAGTCATAATTATAATTATAATCACACGACTTCGAAACTTGAGTTTTAGTTTTCTTTGTTCTCTCCTATTTGTCGTCGTTGGGGTAATAGAATTTCACAGATATCTGGGACAGGTGTTGAATCATTCCTATTACATGTGTTTACAGTTGATTCGATAAACAATCTCTCCCTCCACCCTGTTACATTAAATTTTAAAACTGTCATCCTATCCCACCCTATTGTATATTTGTGTGTAATTGCATGTAGTGCTATAGCTGAACTATTCTCTGGATTTCTTATCTTATTCGGGTCAACTAATCTAGATTTTGCTAGGTTTTTATGCTCGGCTAGTCTGACTGCCCCTGTTCTACTAGTTTGACTAATGCATTTGACCTGACAATCATTTCAGGGCATTAGATAAAGTAAATTGTTTTGTTTTAAAGGCTCCACAGGTTCCTTTAACTGACAAAGCTTCTTTCTAATTGAGTTTGTGGGTTTGAATGCCACTTTTATTCCTGGCTTGTTAAGAATTCTGCGCAAGGTTTCCGAGGTTCCTTCCTTGTATGGAATTACTACTGATGATTTAGATTCCTTATTGTTGGTGTTGTCATTATCTTGCGCATGTTTGACATGCATGTCGTCATTAATATTATTATTATTATCAATATCAATATCACTACTGTCATTAGTTATTTTATTTTTGCATTTCCCTACACACTGTCTGACTAATTTATCCAGTAAATAATACTGTTTCACTGTGTGATATGTCTAATAAACAAACTAATATGGAACTAGTTTTGTACTCATTTTACACTGACCAAGATTAAGTAAATCGATGCGAAAACTAATCTGTAATTTATTTATTTATTTATTTTTAGTAATTTTTATCATTAAGTTTTGAGGTACCACTCACAAGATGCAGTCATAAAGAGGGTATATCAACGTATATATGTTTAGACATATTCAAATAAAACCCCACCTTCAGTACACTTTACTAATCCCTTTAAATATCACACTAACGGGTAAAGTCGTGTTTTCATGTAAATAAGCACGATTATCCTTGAAGCAACAGATTTACACACAAATCCCACAGTTTCTAAACTTACCTAGTTAGTTTTGTTAAAGAATTATTCCTTCAGTCTGTAACTGCGTCTCACGTACACTCTACTTCTACCCTACACGTTTACTTCGCTCGAATCTCTTGAATATTATTTCAGACCAAATATAACACTTTAAATCAAACATTTTAAATACTTAAATTCAATAGATAAATTCTAATAAACTAAATCTTTTATGATTGTCGAATTTTATGTATGAGACTAACTGTTTATGCTTTTGTGTGCCATTAGATTGGAATGCCTCATAGAAATCAACCAGCAAATAAAAGAAGATACAGTTTGAATTACCCTATAAAATACTTGACCTCCTGATTTATTTTTCATAGATAACTAAAATTTCGAAATGTTCCTAGTTGTCCAAGTTCTTTACTGCCGAAAAGATGTCAAAGCAACGAAGAATAAAGTACCTACCAGTTTATGTACGGATCTCTTAGAATTAATCTCGTGATATTATTTCGGATGATCAACTCTACCTACTGATGAGTAACCAGATTATATGAGCTTAATCGATGGGATGACATCACTAGGTCACCTGTTTAATAATTTCACAAGATTAAAAACAAATACAACAGTATTGGTTCGCTTTTGTCGCTACCCCTGTCACATTTTACTTACCATTTGAAATAAATAGTCAAATTTAATCATTTAATCATTTTACGCGGAATGAATACTCAATTATTGTTCGATTATATGTCAACTGAATAAAAGAATAATTTGTAAGACAGAAAAACATTAATTTATTGAACTTCCATGTCCATGAATACTGCTGAAAATTAATTAGAATATATTAATGTTTGTCACAATACACATTTACTCCATACAACAAAATATGCAGTTTATAGGCAACAGAATTAGGTGGTAAAAAATTACCTATTAGGATGAATTATGGATCACTGAATTTTTTCATGTGCTCTTTTTCTTGTAGTAAATGAAGAGTTTGCATGATGAGGTCATTAATTTCTTGTCTACCAATCTTGCCATCTTTATTAACATCCCATTGTTTCAAAATAGCCTCTTTCATGACACGTAAGCCTTCTTCGTTCACTTCTTCACCATTCGCTTCTAGTAAATCTTTTAAAAACCCCATCAGTTCTTCGTTTTCCAGTACACCATTTCCATCTGTATCATATTTACGGAATATTCTATCGATCGTCCTTTCATCTAAGCCTCTGTCATTTTTAAATAATGGTTTTATTAGATAATTCTCCTTAACACGTAATAATCTTGCCATTTCACTCAACTGTAACTTACCGTCTCCATCACGATCAAAAAGATTGATGAGTGTCTGTGTATACTCATTCAACTTCTCATCGGATAATTCAACTTTTGAATTAGTTGTTAAGTGTTTCAAGAATTGCTTTAATTCATTCGCATCAATTGACCCACTTAAATCTGTATCAAATTGCTTCCAAACACGCATAAACTCCACACTCGAGGATAAAGGAGTGTCTATTTGAAATAGGGCTAGAAATGTTTCCTCAGTAGGTAATATTTGACACAATTCAGTTATATCAATACGTCCATCTCCATTTTCATCATATGCATCCATAACTTCAGTCATTAGCTGTTGCATTGCTGTTTCAGAGACAATTTCACTTCCGATTTCACCAGGTACGACACTAGTAATGAATTCACGCAGGAATCCATCCAATTCCATGCCTTCCAAATATCCGTTCCCATCTTTATCATAATGCTGCCAACACTTAAGGAAGTCTAGTGCAGTGACTGAATGAAAACGGTGTGTCTGAGGATCACGGAATTTTGACAAGAAATTTTCCACATTCTCTTTACCAGTATTATCCGTCATAGTTGTGGATAAGCGTATTAATGTAAGAGATTTATTCAACGCAATGCAGATCAAGTCAAATTTCTAAAATTCAGATTATGAATTATTATGTTTATATACTGGTAGGAGAATAGGCACAGGGAGAGAGAACAGTATAAGGTTCATTTTTAATTGATTGTCCTACTTAAATTATGCATTATACAACAAACAACAGGACACAACAAAGTTCTGCCTAAGACTAGCTCATATAAAACAGGTGGGTGTGTGTGGTCATGTTTATTTGTGTATATTTATATTGGGTGGGAAATTAAGCCAAACAAACAGCTATTTTAGCACTTTCAATAAACTAAAATGTAAGCCTTTTTAAAGCATAACTGACATGTAAAACATTTACTTTAAAAATGAATACGTTTTACAATCAAGCTTTATCATTATCAATATTTTAATATTATTGTTCTACACGAAATTTTCTCAGTGATTATACCCATCTGATTGAAAACAGATGTTGTTTAACTACATATGGACAATCAGGAAAAGGTATTTCTGGTTAATAATAATTGTCATATGATGATAACAGACTTTCTAAGAAATGCTACTTCTCATTATATCATAGGTAAAAACGCGATAATTCATTTCCCTCATTTTTATTTAACTAAGTATTTTCTTTTTTCATAAAGGAAATGTATTTGATAAAATCTCTGTGTTATACAGTAAATAATACTGCATAACTCTGTGAAACTTTATCAAATAAATATACTCTCTGTTGGAATTAACTCTATCACAGTGACTAACTTCTATTCTTATATTTTCTTCTTCCTGAACGTCAGCTCCTACGCTAATGTGTTGGAAGGACCAGAGTAGTTTGGTTGCACAAATGAATCATATTGGTTTAAACGTATTCAAACAAAGGCCTTACCATAATGAAAGTATTAATTGGAATGTCTCCTGTCTAAAAGCACTTAATGTTACAGTGCAAATATTCCATGTGAGAGTATACTGTGATGATGTATGCATAGTGCTTAGTGGGAAATTAGTTGCATGACCTATCATATTTCTATTTATGTGCAAAATAACAAGATACCTAACTAATGTCAGCTCATGATGAAAATCCTGTAACAAGATACCTTCTCGAATCTATAATGGTCAGAATGTTGTTGATCTTAACATTATCATACAGTGTGAAAAGCTGAAGATATCACTGGGAATATGTATTGAAAAGTATTTCAGCACAGTTGATAGACATAGAATGAGGGGTAAGAAAAGTTACTATTCTTCTCATATGTTCAGAGTAAGAGTGATTATCCAGCTACTACATTGTTACGTAGACAGAACTGAGTGTGAAACTAACTCCAATAAGATTTATGCCATAAATAACGAAACAAAATATCTGCTATATAACAAAAAAGGTTTAGAAGAAACTAATATACGAGACTGCTTTTTCCGTTTGTTATTCTTCCGTTATGGATTGCTAGGCTTCTAAAGCGAAGGAGAACATTTCAAAATGCAGTTGGTGAGCAGCGTCAAGTAAATGTGTTTTTGCAGCTTTTCGAATCAATGCAATAAAATGCCTGCTTTCAGTGAGTTGATACGGTGGAGGTACCGATACAAACCACATGTTCAAATGTTGATTTGTAGGGATTTGATTGGTTACAGAATCTCATCATGAGCTGACATTGGTTAGAGAACCATTGGAAAACCTGGGAGTACTGAACAGCTGTTTTTTTTCCTTCACGTTCCTCAGTGGAACATAGGGCTTCGAGCTAGTGGCTTGAAGTTTCTGTAGCAGTGTTTATTTTACAGGATGGGGTTGCTAGCCTCATGCCCAACCTTTCCTCTTCACCAGCATTATTTCTGGCTTAGCGAGGTAAAGGAGTGCGTCGGCTGGGGATAGAACCCCGGACCATGTGCATGGTCGGCGAGCGTCCTAACCGCTATGCCACCGACGCACTACTGGACAGATATACTCCCAGGTTTTCCAATGGTTCTCTAACCATTGTCAGCTCATGATGAAATCCTGTAACAGACCATATGTCTTAAAGTGTACAAAACCTTTTTATTCTGTAATGACTGTCTTCATGTTTTAATCATTGTCCTGCCATTGTTGTCATCTCGAACAGTTAAAAACGTCATTGTTATATCGGTTTATTTATGATCCCACTTTCTTACCACAACTAACACAATGTAACGGCACTGTCATCAATATGTCAAAATTTTAAATGTCCAGTCTCTACTTCAGATCATTAGTCTCCACAAGCCACGTATACACGATATAAAAGGGATTGTCCACTTACACCAACCTGATAATTTTTTCGCTACTGTAAGATTTCGTTTCAGAGTATTCAGTGGTTCGATAAACAGATTTCATTCGCTCATAAGTGAACGAACAGCACTATGTACTATAGCAGATATCTATCTTCCAGTTATGCCTAACTAGATGATTACTTATACCCAGTTCACTTGTGGTTATTTTGCAACAATTCCAGTGACTTATGTGTGCTTTCTTCAAACACACAATCTATGCAGTTTAAGTTTTATGGAGCATAATTATATTATTTATTACCTCACTTGTTGAGTTAACTTGAAAATCAGATACTCTGTCCGTCTATTTACTGGAAATTTAATCACAATCATTTGCTTTAAAACTAGCATTATGACTCACTACTCTTTTTTTAACATTCAGTATCAATTCTGGAAATGATCATTTGGATTCAAAATCCCCTTTATCCATAATCCACCCAGCAGGGGGTTTAGCGACCTACTGTGAGCAAATTAGCTGCATTGTTATTCTCCAAGTTAACTAAATTTGTTTGGTATCCATCATAATAATTTGAATGCAGGCTTCAAATTCTAAGGGTAGGGAGTAACAGACAACTCTTCATTGTTTCGTTCACTTATTTACACATTACAGGGCATTTCATACTTGGTTCACAAAGTAATTATTGAAGAACAAATCAAAGTGACTGTAGTTAGGAAGATGTAAGTAAAGATAGGTATGTATACTAAGTTTAAAAGCATAAAATTTAACCCTTCTTAAATCGTAACAAAATTATGGTGACTGAAAATTTCTATTGCTGTATTGTTTAAATGCTTACTGTTGAGTGTTAATATTTATTATATAAATTACAATTAATTCTACCAAATACAAATTCATAAATTCTGCACAATCTGTGTTGTTGTTTGGTTTCCTGTGACTCGGTTATTGCGAAATGCTGTTACAAATAACTACTACATATTGGCGTCGCTAAGGTATTAAATAATCTTGGAAAGTTTTCAATCAACGATTCTTCGCGGGAAATCACCGATTATCTTGAATGCTTTAACTTATGCTGCATGTCGAAGAATATTTGTGATGACAAAATTTCAGCGCATTTTATTACTGCGATTGGGCTAGATGCGTACAGTCAACTGAAAACTCTTTCATTTCCAGATAAACCAATTTCTGTACCATATGATAAACTCCGTGAACTTCTAATGTGGTGGTGTGATACAAACAATGTGTCTAACAGAATATTATTTCACATATTCCCACAATTCTATACAGCATTAGCAACAGAATACTATATGTATTTGAACATTCTGTTTCACGTCTTTTAATGTAAACTAAAATCACACGCTCAGTGATCGGTTAAAGAATATAAACAGTGTAGATATAAATAGCTGCTTGATCACTTGGAAATATACCTTGGCTTTCGTGTCTTGCCTTTTGCTGTTACACTAATGGATCACTTCCGCATCATTACTTCTGAAACACGAGAGAGGGCTCAGTGCAGCCAACTTGTTCGTGCTCCTAACCAGAAGATTAGAGACTTTATTCTTCAACTTCAGATACAAGCTTCAAAATGCAACTTTGGAGATTAGCTCCACACTCAAGTACGAAGTCGTCTAATTGCTGGGACAAGTATTCCGAAGCTAGAGAAACAGCTGGTTCAGATTCCTTCCTACGCCTCTCAAACTGCTGTAGCGGTAAATAATTCCACAGCAATCATCACTCAACATTGGATGCTGACTACCACTGTTTAAGTCGACTTGTTTAGCTGAAGGCTTCCGGTCAAGCATCCCCACCATTTGGTACTCCGTCGTGTCACGTGCGTGCACGATTACTAGCTAGCTAAGCATTCATCTCTACCCGCAATTTTGTCCCGAAATATACTACGTACTTTGGACGACAAAATCTGGTCTTTTGCTTTACCATTTGGTACTCGAAGAACGAACACTATCGAAGTTGTTGGTATAAGATCTTGCGTTAGTATAATCCGTACAACTCACGAACGTCGATACCTACACTCACCAAAACTGGTGAGTCCAACCACGAACTACATCTTCAATTCACACGCAGATAAACCCGGTGAGTTCGTTCCTTTTTGTGTTTATTCTTGTACTATATTGTTATCGGCATACTTTTCGTCATGAGTGATCCTACCCCCAAGGTTATTCAGATTCGCTCAACCGCCAAAACAATTCAGCTCGTACCATATTGGCCAGATAATGCTGAAACGTGGTTTCAGATTGCTGAGTCTGATTTTTGTGAGCATGGCATAACCGATCAAAGTTCACAGTTCCTCGCAGTTATTCACGCCCTACCGCAAGAATTCAGCGAGTGTGTAACCGTACAGATGTCGAGTTCAGAAGTAATTAACTCGTACGAGTTGCTCAAAGCATCCCTCCTCAAGAGAAACGTTCTCACGGATCGACAACGTCTGGATGAGTTATTTCGTAACATCGAGTTAGGGGATCAGTCAGCCGTGAGCATGCTGGCAAGAATGAAAGAGATCATTGGCCGAAGACAGTTCGATGAAGGACTGTTTAGAGAACTATTTTTATCCAAACTGCCACAGTCAGTTCAGACTGTACTTGTGACACTTCAGGGTGTTCTCATGGATGACTTAGCTGTCTCCGCAGATAGAATTCTAGAGATAACGAAACGGCCAGTTACCGAAGTATACTCTGTTACCGAACAGACTTCGAGGAAGGATTCTGCAATGACAGAGTTATGCAACTCCATCCAGCAGATGCTTAGGTCA